TCTTTAACATAAGGTAAGAGGAAATTAGCAAAAGTGCATGCTTTTAGAGTAAGAAGTTGAAAATGCAACAATCCTTAAAACTTTCCAAAGTATCTTTTCTTTTAAATCCAAAATTTGTTTTTGTTTTACCTTTCCATTGTTTAGAGCTCAATTCCTTTGCCACCGCTGTTTCGTTTATGCCGCAATCCACCTCCTACTACCATCGCCTCCTTTAGTTTTCCATGGATAAAAGTGTCCGAAAATGGAAAGCAGCTGCAAAATTTACACCTTTATTAAAATTTCTGCTACTTGCATTTGGATAATTTTCCCAGACAATAAATGCTCCTAAAAGGGCAACCCCTAGTCCTGAGCTATAAATCAAATTCAATGTATGATCCAGCATTAAAGAGCAAGGAGTCCAAGTGACACATGAGTGTATAATTTGACAAGCAGGGCTGCATACTTGACAATAACATGACGACCAACAAAAAGAAAGGGGTGCACGGTAGAGAAGAATTGAGGGCAAGAGGAAAATTTGTTTATTCATATAATCAAGGGTTATGAATTATAATGAATAAGCCATGTATTTATAGAGCAAATAAACTAAAATCTAAAGAACTTTTAATACTATAGAATTTTATCAAACTATTAAAACTAATATAATCAAATCTAAACAAATATACTTTGAATAAAACTCTATTGTAAAATTCTAATTAACTTGTAACTCTATCCTTATCTCCATTATTTTTTCTCAACTGAGAAAACTCGATTTCGACGAAGTAGACTGAAACTTCATAAAACTCCATTGTAAAATCCTAATTAACTTGTAATCTTTATCTCCATTATTTTTTCTCGACTTAGAAAACTCGATTTTGATGAAGTTGACTGAAACTTCATAATCCAAGAAGGTCAATCTTTTGTCTTGACCAAATGTCTATATTGAGCTCTTGACAATAATATATGACTATACAATCCTATCAAAAAAAATTATATATGACTAAACTCATCCTAAAGAGTGCGGTCTTTCTTATGAACCAAACACTTGGACAATTGATGGGGACAATGCCTCCTAATCAAGTAACGATATGGAAGTCCAAAGAGCAAAATCTTCTCACTCATGTTCAAAAACTTCAATTGGTTGTGCATAACGATGAGTACAAGGGACTAACACTGTAAACTAGCCTATAGAAAAAGATGATTCCAACATCGAAGGCTCAAATGGACTCTTGATAAGGAAACAATTCTTTTACAAAGAAAATATAATTTTTATTTAAATGTGATGGCCAGTCAAATAGGTTATCTTTATGCGAGTGATTCAAAATATTGTTTTTAACGTGATTAGGAAATCGGGTGAAAGAAACACCCAATAAAGTATAGTAATTACTATTATAGTCCTCTAACTCATATTGCACATTAAAAAGTAAGGTAAAAAATTTCATGATTGAAAATAATTTGTCTTTTTAACTTGGCATGAAATTTAGGAACATTGACTACAAAGGTAGGAGCTAACACAGTATGACGATAATTAGTAGGTAACTATCGAATATCGATTGGAAAATTCTGCATGTGGATAATTGCCTTAGAATTTTTTTTTTCAACTATCGACCATTTGAGGTAATGTTATGACAAAGTTAATTTTAGAAGCGCACAGGAGTAGATAAATTGTTTTGACTGAGGTGGCAATACTCAGGTAATTCATCAATTGAGTCATGGTCTATAATGTCCATAATCAGTGTGAGATAGGATACAACACAAATCTCAAAACTCTCATTCTTGCTATCAGAATAGTCAATAGGCTTCATAGTGAAAAACCTTTTTTTTTTTTCTAGAAGAGGACTAATAGAACTAGACTTGTGAAGTGACTGATGTGATATGCCTAGTTTTTTGCCTGATTGATGAAGACGAAAAGATATGTACTAAAGATTATCCAAACGGTAAGCTTCATCTAAAGATTGGGATCTGTGAATGGCATCATGTAAAAATTCAAGATTCAAACTATCGATAAACCTAGACAATGTGATGTGGGGAGTTTTATAAATATAACAACTGTGCAATAATCTACTAACAATGGACGTACCTTGCCTACATTGTAAAAAGAATTGATTTAATAATTGAGTTCGATAACATGCAGGGACATTTATTACTTAAAATTTGTTTCATTTCATCCCACATGGTGACAGCGGGTTGACCTAGACGATTATGTAAAAATATTTTCCAATAAACCTTAGCAGAATCGACCAGTGACATTAGCATGAAAAATTCGACGGAGTCACTCAATTTGTAAAAGGTAAGTAACTTTTCAATATTATTGAGTCAATTTAAAAAGGACTCTGGACCGGTCCAACCATCAATGTCCCATGGTTGTAATAGAATATGCCTAAAAAGATAATGAGAATCCCGACGTACAATAATACTGATAGGAGGAATGAAAAGACAAACTATCGTGGTAACGAATGAAGGGTTTAGTGTATATAAAAGTTCTTATAAGAATCATACATTATTTTTTTAAAATGTAAAGGAAAATAATGCAACTAGAAATTTAAAGTTCTTTAAAATTAAATTTAACAAGCCAGAACACCGAAATAAAAGCGTATTTTCAACGTAAAAGAAATTGGTATCTTACGAGACTCAAAAGAGCCAAATAGCGTTCGAACCATTAACTTTAAGTTGGCAAGGCTACGGTGGAAGAGCGGCAATTGATTTGCCTGAGTGACTGTTTCAATCAACGGGAACAAAAGAGATCACGGCCCTTGCAAAAGAAAAATTCTTTTTTTTACTTTCTTTTCTTTTTCTTTTTCTTTTTCTTTTTTCTTTTTTCCTTTTTTTTTGCACTTTTTCTTGAACGAAGACAATGGAAACTTAATCAAAAGCAACTGCCTCTCTGGTGGACAGTTCCAGTGTGTTGATGTGGTTGATGTGACGATTAGGTAGAAGAATTTTATAGGGCCCGACCTGGATGGGAAAATGTGGTGGTGTGATTGAATTTTATTTTTCAACTAACTAAAAGAGGAAAAAGTTGCGCCCTCGACCGGTGGCTGATTTTTATGACCACCCTTGGATTTGTGTTTGGTTTGGGGAATATGTTGGATTTGTGTTTGGTTTGGGGAATATGTGTGTATTTGGAGGGAACGACTGGTTGGTTAAGGTTTGTGAAATTTTGGATTTGAGAAAGTGTAGGCCTAAAGAGAATGAATTGCTTCAACACCAAATTGACGTAGGAGCATATAATTGGACAAGGAACAAGACAAGGAACATAAAGAAAGGGGTACAAAGAAAGAAGAATTGAGAGCAAGAGGAAAATATGTTTGTTCATATGATAAAGGTTCAATGAATAAGCCATGTATTTATAGAGCAAATAAACTAAAATCTAAAGAACTAATACTATAAAACTTTATCAAAGTGTTGAAACTAATCTAATCAAATCTAAACAAAAACATTTGAATAAAAATCTCTTGTAAATCCTAATTAACTTGTAACTCTATCTCTATCTTTATCTCCATCACCAACCGCCCAGTCTATTATTGTCAGTCAAATTCCTATTTTACACTCGCACTGTGTTAGCTTTCAACAACTGACAACTGTAATACCAAAATTCTGTTTTGGATCTCTCATTCTCTATCAGTGGCAAAAAGGTGATGGCTAGAATTGAGCATGGATCTGGTATTTAAGGAGGAAGACAAACCTATTAATTGCATGCATTTACGAATGAACTCGACGAGCCCATCAAGTACTCTTTGCTTGACTGGTGTCGAGTTGAATCACATTTTTTTTTTCAATCAGTTGGGACATCATCGTTTTTACTTGATATGCTTCTGTTAAATACTGCCATTTGCTGTCAAATGACAATTTGCCCCTAATCAGAGTGTATACAATAGTATCAAGAGAGCTGACATCGCACCCTCCTATTCACAAATGCCGCCTATTTGCGTTACTTGCAGGTTCTGGTAAACTGCCCTTGGAATCAGCAAATGATGTTTCTTTTTGTCTTGGTTATTGAACCAAAAGTTTTGTGGTGGGAAGTGAAGGAGTCAATCGGGGAGTGGTGGCTTAGAGTGTGAATCTATAGAGGACATAACAGAGTAAAAATGGGCTGAGGAGTGTGGAAACAGTAGAGAGCAGAAAAGAATTAGGGATGCTGCGGGCAAAGGGAGAAGATGTAAAGAAGGAAGATGGCCATTAAAAAGTATGAAGGATAGAATTGAAATTTTACAGTGAACATGACTATTTTTTCAATAAGTTCTCAGAAGTTGCCATATTTCATTTTGTAATTAAAAACTGGCTATTTTTGCAAAATTTTCCTTGAGATAATTTAGCTATGACATACTGCTTAAGAGAGCCTAGTTGACGGTGCAGATAATCATTCAGAATCGAATCAATGGAGTGCATTAACTCAGGGTTTCTGAGCCGAGTTCTCCTTGGCATGGGAGAGAATAAGAAGGCTAAATTCTTGTATATATTGGAAGTTACACAATTCCCTGTGCTATAACGACAAATTTAATTGCTTAAATATTTCAATATAGTCATTTTCTTACTTATTCTTGCATTTAACTGTCCCGTTTCCTGTCTGTTGTTCTATATTGCTTCTGTGTAATGTCAATTCTTCCATTTTGGCATCTACAAAATTGCGTAGGCCAGTAGTAGTTTGGTTATAGTATCTTACTAATAGGTTTAATTATCACTTGGAAGTGAAGCTAGCAGTAGATTGATCCTAATATCACACTAATAAGGTCTTCTCTTGTGCTCTCTCTCTCTCTTTTATGTCATTCTGAATTTGCCTAGTTTTAAATGTGTTTTCGCATTTACTAAGTTCTTTTTACTTCTTTACTTAGCAAATGCCTGCCAATTTTCTATCGTACGTAGGCTATGATGAATAATGCATAAATTTTGGAAATTGGAAGTATCTGAACTGATTTTAGAGAAGATAAAGAGATTTTATCAACTTTTCGTGGCACTATGGTATATGTTTGGATATAGGAATCATGTTTTGGCCTTGTTTCTTTATTCTAAGAGATTGGTTACAGGTGGTGATGGCAATGAGAATACGAGGTGGAGATGGAGCTGTCTTCCAAACTTTTAGTCGAGCTCGAGAGCTATACAGAAACAAAGTTCAAGATAGTGCTGCTGCTGATGAACTGTCTGCACTCTTTGCCGAGTGTGCAATAGTGGAGGCGTTACCTCCCCAGTTTGAATCGTGTCAGCATCCCATGGTTGGTCAGTCAATTGAACCACATGTTGATGGAACTTCAATACTTGCAGAGACGGGCAGGAAGCAAGTTGTGCTCGATGCATTCTCTGATGGTAGCAGCTTTGTCTGCTTACAGTGTGGAGGTCTAGTTAGCAATCATTGCAAAGAGGTACATTATGCCTTTTGGTGCTGCAGAAACTGAGTTCTGGCCACAAGAATTTGACGCATCGAATTTGTAGATGTTATTACTATTTTGTCCCTATGAAATGTGTGATTCAGATATTCATGATGTTTTGTGAGGATGCATCCCCTTTGAGGCAAATATTCCATTGTGTTTTCGAAGCTGTATAATTTACTAAATGAATTGTCATCATATAATAAAATTAATGAATATTGCTGTAAATATAGTAATATTTATGAATGATTTTTATACCCTTGCTGCCCTAGTTTTTATTACCATTTTACCCCTAACTCTTCCCTATAAATATGGAATTTTGATTTTTAATAAAATATACAAGTCTATTGATTTCTCTCATTCTTCTCTCCTTTATTCTCTCTAGTTTATAACATGTTGTCAGAACGATTTTTTCAAAATCAATGAGAATTAGAAGGTAATAATTTTTATAAGTATAATCATTTGTCACGTGTACTAAAATTAATTTGGTGACATGAATTTTTCTCTATACATATGCATTATAATGAAGTTGTTGCTACTCAACTTCCCAGTTTGTATGTATCATATGACAATATTCGTATGCGCATTTTTCTATTAAAAAAAAAAGGGATGTTAACGCTAGATTAGTATGCATCTCGTTTGTATGAGTCAAATCTTCCACTATACTTCTTGATTGCACTACTTTTTCTTTAATCGTTTACTATCAAAATCTTTTTATTTTTTTGGTCTTCTTTATAAAATCAATTTTGTGATATTGAAAAGTAAGTAAATATGCATATTTTTTTATTAAAGCCTCCCAATTAATTATAGTGATAATTGAAGCAGAGGCTCTAAACCTTTCAAATAGTTGCAGATTTTTTCCTGACCTTTCATTCATTGCAATCATCTCTTCTAACCTTTCGAAATGTTGCGGCTGAAGCCTCAATGGACATATTCCATCCAAATGTCTATTAGTTGATCAAGAAATTGAGCCGGACTACATTTTTTATATTTTTTGTGAATGGCATAATGGTGACTTCCAATTTATTACATTAAAATAAGTTAAAACCAAATTAGAGAGAATGAAAAATAAAAGCTGTTGATCTTCTTTATCTTCCCCCAAACCCACCGCCACGTAAAGTTGTTGACTTATTTTCCGATTCAAGGCATTCGTGGTGGTCGGAGATGGGAATGGGAACGGGAACGTTGGGCTCGACGTCAAGTGCTTGAAGGAAGTGACAACTGCGATTCGTGGCTCAATTATATCGGCTGAGCTTTCTGTGATTCTGGTCAGGAGAGGGTACTGGGGGAACAATATTGGTAAACCACACACCATTCCATGTAAGGTCACAGGAAAATGTGGTTCAGTGACTATCCGCATAGTGCCCGCACCTCGTGGTGCCGGAATTGTTGTTGTTCGTATCCCCAAGAAGGTTCTGCAATTTGCTGGTATTGAAGACGTCTTCACCTCCTCTCGAGATGGAGTTAAATCTGCAGCAGAGGAAGAATAGCAGCAGTAAAATGATGCTTAAAAGGGAGGAAATACGGGCTGGATTAGGTTTGCACTCGGGTTCAGGTTTTTTGCCGCCACATTTGTCTGATCCAACTCCTAGCCCGGCTATTTCAGAGGTGGGATGGTGCTTTACTTGATTTTTATACTTCAATATATATGTTCTTTAGACCATGTCAATTTATTTAAGTTTCAGGAGCATATAATCAAAAGAACATTGTATTTACTAATCAAAAGAATCAGTGGCGGTGGGCTTGGGGGAAGATAAAGAAGATCTACAGTTTTTATTTTATTGTTTCTCTAATTTGATTTTAACTTATTTTGATGTAGTAAATTGAAAGTTACAATTATGCAATTTACAAAAAATATAAAAAATGTGGTTAAACTCAATTTCTTGGTCAACTAACAGACATTTGGATGAAATCCGTCCACTGTGGCTTCAGCTGCAATGTTTCGAAAGGTTAGGAGTGACAGTTGCAATGAATGAAAGGTCAGGGAAAGTCTGCAACTATTTGAAAGGTTTGGAGCTTTTGCTGCAATTATTCATTAATTATATTATAATATCTTTTTATAGTGGTTAATTGAAGTAGTTATTCTGCCTTCAATGCACGTTTTAATGCCTTTAATAACGTATTAATGCATGATTAGAGATTTTAATCCTGCCTTGTGTGTTTATGAATTTTTTTTCCTAGTACATGTATGGTAATAAATATTTTTTGAACGTGATTAAATAACTTTAGATGTTAATTGTTTTTTTAAATTGATAATATATCTCATTGTTGCTCCAAAAGAAGCACAACTTTACAAATATTAACATTCTACTAGAAAACATATTCATGAAGAGTTAGTGTTTAAATAATAATTTGTTGGTATTTTTGAAATAACGTAACATTGTTAATATTCTAAAAAAATAATATTGCTCCTAAAGTAGCACACTATTATTGACAAATATTTTAGTTACTTTTTACTTACTCCTGAGGAGCATAATTAAATAAGATCTAAAGTAAATTATATTTTTACTCCTGAAGAGTAAATTCTTGTATAATTTATTATAGTAATGTTTGATTGCTTTCGAAAAACATGAATTATAATTTTCAATATTTCACAAGAATATATTGACATATTGCTTTTGAAGGAGCAATAATAAAATGCAACGTACTCTCGAAGTACGCACATGTTTTGAAAAATATATCATTTTGAATTTATGTTTATCTTCGAAGGAAAACAAATAACTAATGTCATGAAGACATAAATTAGTTTGACTACTTGAATGATATATGATTACATAATATTTAGTCATGTTCTTCGAAATTAAATAATTGCATTATATCTTATATTGAACCATAAGTTCAATTTGATTTTATTGTTTGGCATGACCAGTTAGACCATCACTGGATGAATAATGATGCAAAATAAAAAATTCAAATGGATATTCAATGAAGAGTTAGAATATTTCTACCAACGTGAATGTGCAGCAAATTCAACTGAATAAACGACTTATCACAGTTATAATGCTGGTTGGTATTTCCTGATTATCAGGAATGGAATGCAAAAATCAGTTAGCCACAGAGAGCAAAATGGCGGAGTGACAGCAACCTACAGCAAGTCACGGTATTCTAGCCCAAACAACGCCTGAACAGGCTTAAACAAAGGGCCTGACTTTCGGACTTTGCTGTGAATTACTGTAACCCCAGACGGATCATACAGTCAGTAGAGCACTTTCTGATGCAGAGGTTCACCATAAAGGTGCAACTGCAGAGCATACTCTTGTTTCTACTCAGATCTTATTCCATATCACTCAAATCTACAACTACTTTGTATCTTCTGAAATTAAATAAGAACTGGAAGAGTTTAGAAGAAGAACATGATATAGAAACACACTAGTTTGATTGATTCCAAGATGATTTACAATGAGGCGGAGGTCCCCTTATATAGAGGAGAGAAAACATTAAAATATTCATATGAGACCCACATACTTTATACATGTCCCAATATTACAAAGCTTATCTAAGAAATTTATCTAAAATATGATTACAAAAGGACAAACTGCTTTAATAAAGTAGTTTTAATAAAGCAGTTTTAATAAAGTAACTTTTAAAAAGTAGCTTTATAGTGATGTTGATGTTTTCGTCAGAATGTTGTCGCCTTTGTCATGATGTGTCAAGGTTCATGTAATCTTCTGGTTGCGATGGTAAATCGTGTTGATTTAACCAATGAGTATTAATGTCTTTTTCACTTGACCATGGATCTTGTGAATGTTGGAAAAGACTATCATCGGTTCATTTGTTTGGCTTGGTCCTGCATCTTGTGATTTTCCTTTGCTAGATTCTGTTTTTGCTGTAGAATTCCATCAAGAGTCTGTTCGTAGTTCTTTTTCAATTCTTTTAATTTCTTTTTCAAGAAATTCATTTTCCTTTTGTACGCTACGGTCCAAACTTTGTAGAAGTTTATTTGAAATCTCCAACTGCTTTTCCCTTTGTTGGCGTCCTTGTAGAGTTTTTTCTGAAAATCTTGATGTTTCACCAAGGCTTTGCGTCGGCCTTCTCTAAAATAATTGTCCACATTGCCAGTCAAATGCATAGTCGTAGTCTGAATCATACACAGTGAGAAATTTCTGGAAATGCGTTTCCTGATAGACTTGAATATCCTGTTGAATTTTCTGAGTGTATTCCACTGGTAAAACTTCCCATGGTGCATCATCTTCATAAGCTGGCCAAATTTGTGGAGAAATTGTCTGATTAATTTTTGTCATGCTCCTTTGAAATTCTCGAAATTCCTTTGGATAATGCTCCCAATTTTGATGCATATTGAATGGTTGGACTGCATATTCCTTGACATGAGAGAAATGAGCATATGTTCCTGCTTCAGTGAAATAAACTTGTCTTTGAAAAATTAAAGTCACATAAATATTATCTCGAGAAGTTCTGAGATCTTTAAATTTCAAAGAAAAAGTTTTAAACATCTTTATCCAGTGTGAAATTGGATAAAATCATTCAAAAAACCTTTTTGCAAAATAATGATTGTTCTGTGCGGAAAATTCAGATTCATTTGACAAAATGTATCAATTGTATCAGTGGCATAAAAAGAAATTCCAATTTGCCAAAATTCTAAAAGATACCAAAGAAAACAAAGAGTTTCTTTTGAAAATCTCAGTGTAGTGAGCTTTGGATCAAAACAGAAAAGTGTGAAAAATGGGTAATTTGGATGAAATCCAAGACCACCAAGTGTTTCAATTCCAATTTTCCTTATCACGATGGATTGATATCTGAGCATGAGATCTTTAGATCTGGATTTGAGAGGTTTGGTTTTTATGAGCTCATTGAGTTCGTGAGAAAAGACTTCAATGTGAGAGTAAGGATTAGAAGGTTGAGATTCCATCATGTAGATGATTGGGATAGATGGAGGAGTGAATAAAGAGATTTTTGGTCTGGAGATGAGGTCTGGTAACAGGTTGTGTTTTCCTTTGATATGTTTGACATCAAAGTCAAAGTTTGAGAACCATTCTACTCATCTGATAAGTTGAGAGTTTGGAATCTGCTTTTTCTTAAAAGAGAGCATTTTTGGAAAAGCTGACATGTCAATTTCAACCAAGAATTTATGTCCAATAAGATGGAACTAGAATTTTTCAATTCCCCTTTTTACTGCAAGAATTTCCTTGAATGTAGATGATAATGCTTCTCTGATTCTGAAAATGAACCGCTTTTGTATCCACAAATTCTTCTTTTTCCATTCTTTTCCTCAAGCAAAAATGCTGACCAAAAACAATCACTTGCATCTGTTTGAAGGATACGTTTTCCATCTGTAGGAATTTGCAGAGCCGGAAGATTATTGACTTTCTGTTTAATGGTTTTGATTGCCTGAGTTTGAGCCGATGACCAAAGATAAGAGTTTTGTTTGAGCATGAGTTGTAGCGGTCTGATTATTGCTGAAAGATGATTAATGAAATCTACCATGTAATTAACAATTCCAAGAAATTGTTGAACTTTCTTTTTTGTCAAATTTTCATCTGAAAACTTGAGAAGTTCCTGGCCAACATGAGGTTGAAGTGAATACTAACCATCTTTAATATGCATACCCAAGAAATCAGCTTCTTTAACTCCAATTACCATTTTCCTCTGAGAAAGCATAATACCATAATGTTTAACAAGATCTGTGAATTTGGATAGCAAATCAGCATGAGAATCTTCATCTTTAGAAAATAATAAGATATCATCAATGTAGACCAAAGCTGTATGCAATAATGGATCAAAGATTCTCGTCATGGATTTCTGGAAAAGAGAAGGTGCTGTCTTTAAACCAAAGGGCATAACAGTCCATTGGTAATGATGGTTTGGGATACAAAATGCTGTTTTGTGTCTTTCTTCAGATTTGATTCCCATCTGCCAAAAACCTACTTTAAGATCAAATTTTGAGGAAATCCTTGCTTTAGACAGATTTACAAACATAGTTTTTCTGTCTAGAAGAGGAAATTTATCATCTGCGAGGAAAGCATTCAACGGTTTGTAGTTAACAACCAATCTGAGTTTTCCTCGAACTTGTTCACTTATTTTCTTAACATAAAATGCTTGACACGCCCACTGTGAGGTTGTTGGTTCAATAAGACCTTCAGCTTGGAGTTGAGCAAGTTCTTTAGTGGCTAGTTGAAGATGTTCTGGGTTCATTCCAAGATGGCTAGCTTTTATAGGATTGACATCTTCATTTTTTCTTAAATGGAAGAGAAATGAAAAATTTTAGGTTTTTCCAAAGTGAGTTTGTGCATTTAGTGAGAAAATCTGAGTGAGATTTTGCACAACAATCTCAGATTAATATATCTGTGATATTTGGAATGGTCATGGTAAAATATGAAATCATGTGGATGTAGGGCTGAAAGTAGGATTTATATCGGAGACCATTTGGGCGATGAATAACATTCTTTTCCCACAATTGCTTGATAATATCCCATGCAATGATAATATCTTTACCAGCTAAAGAAGATCCTAATAACTTGTGAGATATACCAAGTCCTTGGAAGAACTGAATCGTGACAGGCTTGCTGATTATTTCAGTTGAGAAACTATCTCCATTTGCTGCTTGAAAGATTTGTCGATGATTTTTCCACATATGATCAGGAAGAATGGCAGGATTGAGAATTGAGCATGCTGCACCAGTATCAAATAGTGCGGCAACTGTTATGGGCATTTCATACTTTCCTGTAAAGAGTTTTACTTCAATCATTGGCGCTGGAATGGATGAAAAAGCTGGAGTAACAATTTGCATGCCATAGCATTCTTCAGCATCATCAGATTCATTAGAAAGACTATCATCAGAATTATATTCAAGAGCAAAGATGGTTTCTTGTGTTTGCTCATCTTCTTCAGAGAAT